TCGAAAAAATATATGCGCAAACAACGGATTCTGATTGGCTTATTGATCTCCAAACTATAGAGGAAGTTTGGGGACAAAACTCCACTTAGTATGGGAGGTAGGGGGGAAAGCGTTCTCGCGCGAGGCGATCGCGAGGTTCGGGCNTTATTGTGATAAATCTTTCTACCTCCTTGCCCCCTCCCAACTATTTTAAACATAAAATGAGCATTCTTTAACTCAGTCATAGCCTTTGTGAAAGTTTAGCACTTATCTTATCTTTTATAATACTTAGGGGGAGTAAAAAAATTAGATAGTTAATATTGTTAAATAATATAATTGACTCATTCACCTCTGTAGGTGAAAGTGCCTCTTCAAAATCAGAGAAGGAGAGGGAAAGTGCTTTGGAAATGAGAAGAATTGCCATGGAAACATTTGGAGAAAGCAAGAAAAGGAAAAGAGAGGAAGAGGAGGAGGAAAATAGCAAAATTTCAAAGAAGAAAAAAAGCAGAAATTCAGGCAATAACACCATAGAGTATTTGCGAGAAAAATATACTCAAGAAATCTGCCTCTGAGAGAAAGAGTTGCAGATGAAGGAAAAACAGCAAGAATTAGAGAAGCAAAGATATGAAAGTCAATGATGCAATTCATTCAGCAACAACAGCAGCAACAGCTTCAACAACAACAGCAGCAGCAGCAACAAGAAGAACAGTTTCAAGTAATGATGCAGCAGCAAAGTCAGCTTATGATGGGTATGCTTCAGCAAGTGAACAAATGGAAAGAGTCATAAATTACCACCTTTCAGTTTATTCTTACTGATCATGTTCTTGGAAGAAATTTGCTTTTTGCCCACTACTTGGGTCTAGGTAAACTTGGCAATATTGTGTGAAACTTGTCAATGAGCTTGGGAAGGCAGTAAAGCAGTTTTCGAAGTCTCTAATCTAATTTTAATAACTGCTTTCTTCCTAAAGTTATACATGTTTCAGGATTATTTTCATTGCTATTTTATATCAAAATTTGAACAATCAAAAGTCAATGCAGAGTATAACTTTACAGTCTTGCGGATGGAATTTATGCAATTTTTGGTTGCTAATGTACAGAGTATAATTATATTAATTAGAGTTGTACGAATGAGCTTTTCAAGACAAGAATAAACTCTTCATGTCATGTACTACTGCTTTAACTATCTGGTCTTATCTTAAGTAATCATGTAGGGAAGCAGGTTCGATTTCAAAAAAGTTCGATGTCGGGTTTCTGTATAAACATGTGATTGCATTTTGAATGAGTGCACAGACTAAGTACATTTTGCCAACTGAACTGGAATCAATTTTTAGATTACTTTTAAAATCTAAGGCCTTAAACGATGTGGCAACATCACCAAAGATCCACTCTACTGATTCCCTTACGGAGCTCATGGAGCTATTAAAAGCTTCCATTGCTGGTGTAATAGCATTCTGTCTGAATGGAACCTGTAGGTGCACTCGTATTGGGTAAGCTGGGTCCCCATAAAGGCAGAAAGGGTCTCCATTTGTGTTAAATGTATACTGATCCAAACTGTCGAGTAACTTAGAGTCTTGCAAGTATCCCTACATCATGCCTTCTACCTTCTAGGAAAAAAAAGAAACTTGTATTTCAAATGAGATGTAGTTTCGCAAAGGTACCATTTCATACGGGCTGGAAGTGTTTGGCATCACGAATACTATAGACCAAAAATTACGTAATACATTTCTTTTACTTATCAACTGGGCCAAACAGGTTGGCTATCAAAGCATTTGGTAAAGTTACGGACTGAAACTTCAAGGAGTGAACCCTTTTGTGGCCGTTGAACATTATTCTTTGTTGTTGCGAGGGTCTGCATATCGGTCTAATCGTTCAGTCTAAAAACCCGAAACAATTTTGTAATGCAGCCCCTTTATTTGATGTAGCATCCGTGTAGGTGTTGAAGTCACGTGGATTCAGTAGATCATTTTTGATTTTTTGCTTTTGTCTTCTCAGACTGAAGAAGAGAGGAAACGTAACGTAATATGCCCAAATGTAGAAGATAAGTTATGCACACCTGCAAATGAAGCCACCGTTTGTGACAATACGGGTTGCCCACATGGTTTGGAGTACGTATGCGAAGTGGAGGTTGTTAGCTACAATCCAAGAGTCGAAGAAGGGAGATGCACTCAGGTATCGAACAAAAAAAATGAAAATCAAGTCAATATGAAACGATACATTGATGATGGCACCATCATAGAGTATGGTCAAACGCGGTTTGTATTCCATAACCTAAACCAAAGTAATCACAACAGTCAATCATAGTGGAGGTTGATATCATCATTAGCCAATGAGAACTCCAAGTAAAAAAACAAGCAAACTACGTGAAAGGCGGGAAAACACCACTGACCAATTCACGTTTGGTTTTAGTTTTGAATGAGCGTTATTTGGATGAGAATACAAAAACATATATATTTACTCAAAACTTTGCACGTACCTTCATTTTAAAATACAGACTCTGGACATCCTCGAAACAGTTAATTTTGGAAACCTTTCAGCAGCCACGATATTGGATTCTATTAATGAAAAATGACCACCTTATTTCGAATTTGATAACTTGAGTAGCCAACTTAAAAAAAATTTTGAGTTAGAACAATTTCAGCGCAGAAGTATAAAGGTATATTTCCATTTGTTTTTATTAAAATAGTTTAAAAGGTTTTGTTCAAGATTCTAAATCAATATCCAAGTTTGTTTTTTCCTTCAATCTGATATCAACTCGTAATAAATTTTTTCAATGCCCAAAGATTTCTAACCTCATTTATTAAGAGCTTCCCTGAAACAACTTTCTTTGGGAACAGCACCCTAGTATTAAAGCTCGTTTACTTTAGATGTCTTTTATCTGAAAGTAACTGTTTTATTCTGCAGGTTAAAAGGTGAGGATTTCACATCAACGCGTCGTTTGCTTGTAAACCCACCTGGTACATATTGTACATGGACGATATCGAAGAACTCTTATTGCATTTTCTTGTAATCAAATATGATGTATACTCGGATTGCTATGGTTGTTATATGTTAGGGTTATATTGGTTTTGCCAAGGGCTACTGATGGTCCCTTGATGTTTTAGATAATACATTTACAGAGTCTGAAAATAAAAGACAAAAACCTTTATTCGTCTTTCTTCCATCTTCATTTCAATATTAATCACTCTTACCAGACCTCCAAACGTGTGGGTAAATCGAATTAAGAGGTCACACCTCTAGAATGAGCGTCTTAACGGGGTGGTGGCTCTTACAGCTAACGGTTAAAATTTTGGAAAAATTAACGTTCCAGTTCGTATGTATCTAATGTGTCGCCGTAGAGCGGAGATGAACAAATTTATTTTCATTTGTATCTTATTTACCATGGTTTAGGCGCTGGTTTCACGACCTCGGCAGGTAGGCATTCACAACAGTCTCGTTAGGCGTAATCAATCTACTTTTTATGTTGTACTTTCCGTAAGGTACAGTGCTTAGTAGGCAACCCATGTGTGTGAGTGAATAATACGGTAATTTTTGGTTTGGGATCGATCCTGAGTCACACAGTCGAACCTGTATTAATTGAAACGGTCGGTTATCAAAGTCCCGAATTTGTCGCCGCTTAAGTACTGTAATTTTCTCCGCAATTAATCGGTCACATTCATGAAGCGGTCGCGGTCACCCTTTACTCAGTCCCAAAAGCTCGCTTGTATTGTCCTCCACCTGTATTAAAGTCACTTAAAGTGGAACCACTCAAATGAAATTAAAAATAATCCTTCATAAAGAATTTTCATCTCCCGAACTCAGTTTTAGCAATACTTTGGACCGTGGTTTTGTGCATTTAGTGGTTAAAGCATTAAATGCGATTTTTATCGGTTTTTGAAACACCCCAATTTTGTGAAACCTGTCACGGTCAGCAGTCAACCTGTATTGAGCGGTGATTGCTTAATACAAGTTCCACTGTACTTTGGTCTGGCTATATGTTGTATGTTTATTTTTCTCAAGTTATTTAATAACTTTTGTCGGCAATGTTAATTCATCAGTTTTTAGTCTGATAAAAGACTTTTATCTTTTCACCTTGCATGTATATTGTAACAGAAGGGGTATTTGTGTCGAATTAAGTTTACCTTAAATAACACGGTGTTATTCTAAGTCAGGATCGCTAGCTTGATAACTCAAGCGCTACCTACAAATCAACTTTGGAAAGTAAAGCTAGAAAGCCCTTATGATCGAGAAATGCAGGTAGCGATGACTCACTTCATTGAACCGCTTAATCATGAATGACTTTACAAGACGTCTGCCATTGATTCTTTGTTTTGATTGGCGGACTCGTTAGTGGTGTAATCCACAATACTTGAAAAGAAGAGCTTCCTTTAAATCATTAACGGTGGCTGTAAAAGTTATGACCTTGTTCCCCAAAAGAGATCGCGAAAACGTACGGAAACATTCACACGTCCTTTCCTTGAAAGTTAAAGATTGGATTGTTTTGACTATGAAGTTATTCAAGTGACCAATTCCACGATGTGTTGACGTCTTATAAACGAGCAACGAGTTTCAGGTAATTATTTGTCCATCAAAAGTTTAACAAACAAGACTTTGTCTTTATTTTGACATTTCTCTAGACCCTGATTTATGATGTAAATATAACTTGATTTTTGTTTTGAATTTTAAAGTGTAACTCCCTGATAGCTCGGCCAAAAAAAATTCAATCAAATTCGTCAATAGTGGTTTAAAAAAAGAGATAAAGGAATTAATGAATGAACAGACCAGGTCGTTGACTTAAGGACAGGTTAAAACATTGTGAAACCTGTTTCCCCATTCACGTATGTAAAAAGGTTGAAATTTTATTATTGTCTGGAGATTTTCCTTACATTCAGGGAAACAAGTAAGGTCAAAATATGTGAAAAGAGTCCAACAGCATGCGCGAGTAATGTTTGTGTCTCGGATGAAAAAAATTTGTTTGTTTGTTTGTTTGTTTGTTTGTTTGCAACATCACCGTGTAAATTTCACGTCGTCTGGTTTATGCATTCATGGAAGATGTAAACCAGCTGGAAGATCGTTGCAGTGGAAGGTTCGTAAGGTGTTTATTTATCACCGAAAAGCTATTTGTAATTTAAATCATGAATTAATGAGCTAAGTAAATAAGTAAGTTATATTGCCCTCACGCATTACTTCGTTGTATCAAATTCTTTAACATCAAAATATAAAAATGTAAATTAGTTCATTTTATACCGTAACTTTGTACAGAGAACGAATGAGTGTGAAAATAGCAAAGAAAAGCCCAGAGTATTCGAAGAGAACAACAGATTTCAATATTCTTGCTTTTGATTGTCAACATTCTAAAGGTCATGAAAGTTGCTGTGACTGCGGACTTTGCACTGTATCTTTGGACTGGCGTGAAATTGAATCACTTAATACTTTCTCACTCGTTTTCCTAAAAACATTATAAATAGTCTTTGTCAGAAATGGGACCTGTAAAAGTGTTGGGTCAAGTAAGCTTGGACACCTTTGTTTCTTTACTTCTGTCTTGTGTAACCTGGCGGGTGGTATTGACGTTGTATCATGGAAGTGTTTACTGAGGACTGTCGTTGATCCTCACAACGCTTTTCGGAGTGAAGTACTGAATGGAGGTACATATAAAATGTGTCCTTTTTTTGTTCAAAACTAAGATCCCTTTTTAATGGTCATTTGTAAGAGATGGAGTGAAATTTCGTCTACAAATTCTCAGATTCATCGTAGACCGATGGAAATGCAAAACCCGAAGGTCCCTTGCCACTTTTTGTCACCCATTAAAAATGGCACGATTCAAATACTTGCTTAACTCAGGCTCTTGGTCTAAAGCGATATATTTTCATGTATATAAAATATATGATAAAAATAGAAAGATACAAAACGAAGATCGTGATTCGCTGATAAGTCGCATAGCTTGGAGCGAATAATATTTGCAGGCTCACCGGTTTTTTTTAAAATCGATGTTGCAAAAAAGTTTAAAATTTCATTGTTTATGAAGTGCCTCTTTGATCCTTGAGAATAAACGGAAAGGACAAGGAAACTTGAAAGCTCTCTCTTCGCTGGTCGAAGCAAGCGTGGCCGTTTGATGCTTACTGACATGCGAAGAAACAAAGCCCCCCTGGAAGTAATTTAAAACTAGCTACTCGTTCCTCAAGAAGATCGTTAACATTTAAAAAATGGTAAAAATCACAGCGTACACTGTTGAGTTATGGATGCACGTGGGAGGTTGCTAAGCACGAAAGAAGCGTAAGAGTCGCGCGAGGCGATAGCACAGAGCGACTCTAGCTTCTTGAGTGCTTACCAAACCTCCCAAGTGCATCCATAACTCAATAGTGTACACTGTGGCGTTTACCATTTGTTTTATAACATAATATTGGTACATTGTAGCAAAAGAATTCCTTTTATCTAACAAATCTTACGTGACCAGAAAAAACAAGCGCGCGCGGAAAACTACTCTTNGACCTCTGCGATACTAGTGCAGCGCTCTACCAATTGAGCTAACAAGCCAACTGGGAGCAGGCCATCAAATTAATTCGATCGAATTAATTCATTAATTAATTTGATGGCCTGCTCCCAGTTGGCTTGTTAGCTCAATTGGTAGAGCGCTGCACTAGTATCGTAGAGCTCAGTGGTTCGAATCCCGTACAGGCCTGAAATTTTTTTCAGGTCTGATCTTCACTATTGCTCAAATAGTGCTTTACTGCGAAGGATCGTGCACATATACGAAAATCATACTGATTCTTGAATGTGATTGGTTATCAGTAGATAATTTTGAGCTTTCGTGGCGCAGTGTGTACGTCATGTTTGTAATTGAGCTGTAGGCGTCATTTCTTCCTTGTGGAGAAAAATTCTGCTGCTTTGTTTTTCTTTGTGAATTGGTTCAACCGATTGGTATGTTGTTTCTCAGTTGTATGATTACATAAGGATCATACTTAACTCTCTTCTATTATAGGCCAGTGATACTGATGCAGGCTACCTTTTCAAAATAAGGTACTTGTTTAGCCCACGGCAAATAAAGGTTTATTTCGAACCTTATATAGTCGGAAGGGTTTGTGCCTTTTACTGATGTCTTGTATTTTTCTTAGCGGTCTGCCTAAGGTAGCATAATATCGTATACGGTGTATACCAGTTGCGATTCTTTAGTGTATTTGATCGCTGTAATGATTTTCACGAACAACGATTTCTTGGTATAAGATAGGAAAATCGCTGTTTATCACAGCTGCCTACAAAAGTAATATCCTAATTTGCAAAGTTCCAAACCGAACTTCGATATTCGAACGTCATCATTTTGTTCTGTTAGGATTGACTCTAGGAGAGCCTTTGATTACCTTTGCTGGCGACAAGGAGACATACAAAAGTGATCAGAAGAAAAATCACGAGGAAACCATAGTGGCCACCAACGAAAATATTTCAGATGAAACGTCCTTAACTGGAGAAGACAAAGATATTAGTTTCAAAGACAAAATGAACAATGAATCTTCAAGTTTTGTTTCGAACTACGAACTTGATAAAAATAACGAGGGTGTGGCACTTAATGATGATGTCATATCACCCTCGAGACTCACAGAAAGACTTTACAGTCAGCTGGAAAGCAATGAAGCTAAATTGTCTGGATTTCACTTTGAGAAGGATCCCTTTGGAGGAGAAGTTCTCATCGGTCCTATGTCACAGGCGATTGCTGATAACGACGATGCATTCGTGCATCAGAATAACTCCCAGAATGCAGTTTCTGCCGAAAACGACAAAATGACGACTTTAAAAGGATCAGAAACGCTAAAAGGCTCTCGTATAGAGGGCCACTTATTGAAAGATCCCCTTGCGAAAGTATCGTATGTATTAAACCATGATGGAGAAGATCTCAATCACACATTGCCAACTACTAATGACTCTACCATAGCTAGCGATGGCCTGGGAAACAACGAAGATAACGCTAATGTAGATCAAGGTGAGAACCGCTCAAGTAAAAATAATGTAGAGGAGGCAAACACAAATTCAAGCAGTATGGTCTCGAATACTGAAGTCTCTCATGGCCTTGGTGCGTTTTCAAAAGGTGATTCCATTGCATTGCAGAACTCAAATGTCATGAACCGTTTTCAGAATGAAACTGTCGATAACTCGAAGCCAAATACTGATCATGGCATGGGTCATGAGGTTTCCAATCAATCAGCTACATCAGCGCAATATGTTAACATCTCGTCACACTCTTTAAACATCCAGCTACCAGAACTTGTCAAAAGCGTTGTAGAGCGTTTGGGGAACCTAGGTACTCAATATGTTTCGCTTGAATTAGCAAAACATCCAGTGATGAAGGACATTTGGGCAAGTTCCATTGCACAAGCTCTTCTTAAAGAAAGCGATAAAATTTCTCAACTTGATTCTGGGAAGAAAGTAGGAATTATTTCGGACTCAAGTAGAATTTTTGAGTTATTAACTGACTTGTCTAAAGATAGCGCCCAGGAAGGTCAGAGGCCAAAAGAAAGTAACCGAACTGCGAGTAGTCCACTCACGATGGGCCAAATGAAAGAACTGGCTCAGAAAATAAAGGAGAAACTCAATGCTCATTCCCTGTCCGAGCCAACCATCGGAAATGCTGATAACTCTCTACTGTTACATAAATTGAAAAAAGCAACACATGCTGAGGGAGAAAGAAACCCAACACCAACTTCTGATACGACTGAATCACCTCAAGTAGGACAAGAACAGGAAAATAATCATACTCAAGGAGTTCATCTGGGACCATTAAAAAAACCTATAACACCAGCAGCTCCCAAACTTAACTTCAAAGTGGAAGAAAACAATAACTTTCATTTGATTTCCAAGACTGCTGGGAGAATTGCAGGTGGAGGAAACACTAAAGCTAGTGAACAGCAAGCTTATAACAGAAAACCAATTCTGACGCCCTTAATATCTGGGTTCATTTCCGACAAAGAAATCCCGGCGCAGTTTGGTGGAAGTAATATGGACGAACCATCGATTTCTAATGGGCCTTTTGTGACACCCTCCTCCAATAAAGCGAATCATCCTATACAGCTACCTCGAGTACACGAAAATCCAACAACAGATTTGTCAAAGTTAACAAATGAAATTTATTCATCGGCAACTTCTGATCGGGCTATAGATGCACCTTTCCTCTACAACAACTTCACGAGTCTGGATCCTGATGAAGCCAAATATGTCCAACTGAATCTCATGAGCGATCCGGTCGCAAAAGAAAGCTTTACTGATGCCATTAGTCCATTTTCAAGCCAATAGCAACTCCAGGACGAAGATGCCAGGGAGGCAAGTTTTCTTGAGCAGCAAATCAACGATGCCGGTCATTTAGTTCAGGAGATTTTCCCCAGTCTGAACTCAACTGTACCGAAGGAAAATAATGGTGAGTTTTTTGGCAATCCGTTAGCAAAAGCTAATGGTGAAGAGTTCTACAGAAGAAATAACCATTTCCTTAATGCTGAAAATAGAGTAAATGAGAAAACCATGGCTTCTGTTGTTGATGAGGACCAAAACATTTCGTCTTATCCAGCCTCTAATCAACTACAGAGCCAAGAAAATCAACAGATATTCTACCCTGACGCAACTCAAAAGTCGTATTTGGCACCCTCTAGTCTCTATAAGGGACTTAGCCATCAAGATAGAACAAGGAGCCAAGCTGGTGTGGGTCAAATGTCATTAAGTCCGAAAACGGCTCCAGATATTTCTTCGGCAAATCTTGTTCCTTTCAGTAAACTTGCTGAGCTCCAAGGAGCATTCACCTTGATCAAACCAAAACAATCCAGCTATCAATCCCAAAATATTGAAAATGGCCAAAATTTGGACATTGGAGGAGGTGGGGAGACAAGTTATGGATCTCAATTTGGAGTAAACCCATTTCAAGCGTTACTGGGGTGGCCACAAAAGAAACACATCATACAATTGAGCAAAAGAAAACACAGAAAGAATTCCAATCAGAAAGCAGACGCTAATGAATCATCTTCTACGGCCTCTTTGCTTAATTATTCACCGATACATACCAAAATATACAAAAACGCTGGTCTCAGGATAAAACCGACGAAATCTCGTAATCAACCGGGGACTCGAGATTCTGAGATAAGTCCCTCTTCTGTCATATTTGGACTGACGGCTAAAGAGATGAAGGAACTTGAGACACATTTAGCTCACACACCACATGCTGTAGGTGGTGCCAGCGAGAATACCAGTGTACAAGAGGAATCACCTGCAACTAAAGGCTATTACAACACTGCGACAGATGAAGAGCAAGAAATTTCTGTCCAGAAAGTATTGAAAGATCAGAAGTTGACAAGAAAAGAGACAAACCCCAGTCCGTTACACCGAAAAAAGGCACATACGATAAAACATGACAAGCCTAGTACGAAAAGGTTACGCAAAAAATTTGACTGTAACATGATCAAGAAAAGAGATCTTGGGTCATGGGAATCATCCATGGACGTTCTCAACAGTGACTTAGATCAAATACGAGGTCTGAGCCCTAAAGCTCAAGAGGATATCTCTAAAGTCATTCTGAAGGACTACGATGGGCATCAGAGAAATATTAAAGGAATAGAGACATTTCCATTTGATGAGCACGATCTTAGTTATTCTTTTGAACGTTCATTGCAAGCTCCTGGAGGAAGAAACTATAAGAGGTTGGGAATTTTGAAACATTATAGGACGCACAGTCAATATCGACGACAATTGTACGGTGATGACGTGGTGGAACGCATCACTGCAGATGCAAAAAATGGTGTAAAAGATTTTCACAAGGAAACTGACAAAAACACACCGCATTTAATAAGAGGGAATAAAATTCTTAACGGTGATGTGATTCCTCTCGATGATGTGAAAAACGAGTTCGTCCAAGGATTGTTACTTGAAACGCTCCGTAAAGAAAGCGAAGGAGATCTGAAGTATGCGAACGGTATTGCGAAACACGATATTGACCGAATGAAAAACATGTTTCAAGGTGCTGGAGATGAAATTGGCATGAAGAGAGATTCAAAGGGGACATTAAAACCAACCAAACAAGGGGATTTTAAGGTTAACAAAGTTGGAACATTCCTCCAGCCCAATAAAAGACAATCCAAGTCAAGAAAGCATGCAGCGAGAAGGGATGTTACTGATTGGGCGACTGAATTTAACGATGGCACTTTTCGAAGCCCTGACTTTGAAAGACAATTATCCCGCGCTCTGAAACAGGAAAGTGAACACGACTTGAACTATGTGGATACGTTGGAGAGCCTGGATAAGCCAGGGCTGAGGAAGGGGGTAGATTTTTCTGCTTCTCAAAGTAATCCGACGGGGGGAGATGCAAGAGACGCTTTTCGTGAGCAAGGTGTGAAAGAATCCAGTCACAGGGACTATCTACTGAACACCCAAAAGAAGTTGAAGGCGTTCCTACAAAATTCAAATCACAGTAGCGAGGGCTTGGCCCATCAGAAGCATGAGCTCGGTGGAAAGAGAGAATGGACAAATTCTGAAATTCAGGGGAGTGTTTTTCGTGATTTGACACCAGAAGGAAAAGTATTGAATACTGATTATAAAGATCTGGGTTCCTTTGGATCTGATGCTCAAGCACAACTCGTATCGGTGCTAAACATTGCAAACAACGGTGATCAGAGAGATTTAAAAGAGCTGGAAAAGATTGACAAAGTTGATGAAAAGGACGTAGAAAGTCTCTTTAAACCATCTGCTGAGGCTTTTAAGAGATCAATCCTTGCTAAGTCGGCTGGAAACAAAGAAGGGACCATCGAGACCATTGCGGACATTCCCGATCCTGAATCAAAAGAGAAAGAAAGAAATATTGTTGTAAGCGGCGATAAAGGTAAATTTGAGCAGAAGTAATGAGCAAACAGTCTTGAGCATTAGCAAATAATTGTGCTTGTTGAAAGGATTCATATATGATATTTTTATTAGTAGTTGAATCCTTCCCACCTCAGCAACTTTGAAAGAAGTACTTAAATTTCAATATGAATTTGGGGGCAACAAAACAAAGGCGTTTTTCTTTTTTCGATAGCAGGTTTAAGAACCTGTTACAGACTTTATGATAGATTCTGAACTTTCGATAAGCGAATTTTGTCAGCATTTCTGCATGAGTCCACCGCCTACGTTAATCATGTTAAAATACCAGAAATTTTACAAAGACCACGATCCATTTTGTCATAGTATACAGCGCTCAAAATCAGCCAAGAGCTGATCTTGAAAAACATCCGAAGCTCGCCTTTATCCTGAGTAATGTCAGTGACGATTTGTTTTTATTTGTTGGTTGATTGTACCTAGATGTGCAAGGCAGCCCTTTGTTTACCCAGAACCTCACATAATCTCATGCCTTCGGAAAGGTGCTCTGTTCTCAACCTCCCCTTAAGTTTTTTCCCCCTTGGCGAGAATAGATGCAAAATAGTAAAATTGTTCCTTTGACACTACAGGGGTACTTACTTTCTCTGCTTACTTATTTACTGTAATCCAGAGGACTCAGGGTGGAGTGCATGGTCTAAGTGTTCCAAGTCCTGTGGTGATGGAAGCATGAAAACGAGGTCTTTGTACTGTAACGGGAGTTCTCCTTTTGAATCTATTGCCAAATGTCCCGGATGGAACCACCAGACAGTGCCCTGTGATGTTCCACAAAACTGTCCAGGTTAGAAGCCAATATAGACGACTCAAAAGCTAAGTAAATTGTCAAGCTCGAAAAAACCATCAAGGTGGTTCGCAATAGTATGTGGAAATTTTGCTTCGATGGATCGGCACTCCACGTCGGTTAAAAAAAAACAAGAATGTTAAAAAAATATCCCAACATTTTCATCATTATAATCATTGACTTTATGTAACATATGTGATAATTTGTGGAAAACAGCGCTAACTCTTACGTATAAGAGGCAAGTAACCCTTTAGTGAGGAATTCCGCTCTCATTTTCAAACTTTTTACATTTTATATTTACCAAGGAGTCTTAAGTTAATCCTTCAATTTTTGGTCACTGTGAGGATTATAGCAGTTAGAGCTATATGTCAAAACAAGTTACTGGTTTAAAATTCGACCTTAAAACTTAAAAAATGACGAATGCTTGGAGAGGCATCATCGAAAGTTTCAGTTATAAATAGACAACAGCGAAAAAAACGTAAGATAAGGTCCATGGGTCGTACATGTTAATATACCAATTTCACAAGATAGATCTTCCTTGTTTTAGTAAATGGCGGATTCACACAGTGGACAGAATGGTCTGCGTGTTCAGAGACCTGCGGTTCGAGGGCTGTACGAATGCGCATGCGACTTTGCACCAATCCCCCGCCTGCTTTTGGAGGAAAAGACTGCAATGGCTGGAGATTCCAAGTTGAATATTGTAAAGCAAAAGACTGCCCTCAGAGACCTGGTAAGTTACACTAAGATACTAAAGTATACGGAACTCTCTCCCTTGATTACTCATACATCAGCATATCGATAAAAGCAATAGGTAGAAATGATTGGAGGTAAAACGAATTACGAAATTAAATCGTTATTTCTGGTTGCTGAGACGAAAGTCATTCTTTTTTTGTTATGCATAGATCTTGTTACTTTATTTTTTTTGCAGTAAAAGTCTTATTTTAAAAGAAAGGTTTGAACAACTGCTGTGATTCAAGATGACCCTTCGTAAAAGATGTTGCTTCTATCCTCTGATTGTTATGAACGAGCTTGATTTCAAAATAGTTTCTGGACAATTATTGTGAATCCGAGAAGCCATAGTCGTCAGTCGAACTTTTGACTTTTTACCATTTACTACGATTTAATGGTTTAGCGGTTGACTGTTTCATTTTTAATTCTCGCTTAGGCAGCCCACACCGAAACGAGATGGAGACCTCGAAAAAAGGCAAGGAAATAATCTTTAGGACGTTATCTTCAACACCCGTGATAGAAGAAATGTCGAAGCGTCTTCCTAGTACAGACATCGAAAACGACAACAGTGCAAAAAGGATTGCGCGATACAGTGGATTGGCACATATTGATGAAGGATTAGCAAACATACCCTCCGTACAGTCACTTCTTCACGCGTCTCATCAACAAGGTAACTTAAGAGAAATTCCCAGCGCACCAAACGCGTTTGGCTTTCAACAAATGCCAAACATGAAACAGTTAACAAGTTCACTGGCAAATTTTCCTTCCTCGAAATTCATGTCCTCAATGCAGTTTCTGAGGCCTGGAGTAGGTTCGATGTCACAGCAACAACAAGAGACTTACGAAAACGGCGGTAAGGTCATTCACGTGCAAGGAAATAACGAAAACATCGGGTTCACGTCATGGAGCGGGTGGACTGTTTGCAGCGCCTCGTGTGGACGCGGTATTCGGACACGTTCACGTTCATGTATCGATATCTTGAACTTGATTGGTGTTGACAATTCGTGTGTGGGACCCAAAGTACAAACAAAGCATTGCCGTGTCCGAAAATGTCCTGGTAAGTATACCCATGAAGCTTGTAAACACCTGGTTAAGAAATTTCCAACGAGTTTCGTGCCCAATCCGGGATCACATAAGAAATGCCTCACAGTATGCTCTGTGGTTTATACAACTCGCTCCACCTTGATTCTTGACTATTCCCGGTTACCTGCGCGTGAGGCCGTCAACATTCATTTGCGCTGAGTTATCATTGGCTTCCTTTGACTTCTCTCTTGTTCAGATTGGCTACGGCCAGACTCGGGTCAGGCCAAATTTTTCCTCGTTGAATTGGGGAATCCTTGTTTACAATATTTGCCTCATTAGCATAAGCAATTCAGTTTCTGATGGAGCTAAAAATAAATCAGTTCTGAATATCGAAGGTCAAAGTACGATTAACTCGGCCAATGAATACGAGCTTGATGCATTGAATACTTTTTGTGCAACACGGGTTTAAAAACTCAAAATTTTACATAGAATGTATAAGCTCATTAGCGCTTTTGCCACCCAGAAATGTTCCAGTTTTTGATGGACTATTTCTCCTTGAATATTACACCCAAAGAGCTAAAAATTTCACCATGTACTAAGGTTTTCTAGCTCTTTAGCTGCCTGAAGTCAATTCGTATCTACCATGCTTCCTTCTTTACGCAAAGCCGTATGCAAATGAGCAAAAATGTAAACAATGACGTCAGCATGAATCTGCCTATAGAGCCCACCAAAATTTGTATTCCTCCCAACACGTTGCTTAAGTTGGTAGTAGCACTTAACTAGTATCTGAATTTCCTCTCCAAACAGTAATGCACAGTATTTCCCATTCGAGGCTTACCGAGGACAGCATTTACGGACTACTATTTTAACTTTTTTCAGATTTTAATTTTAAAATCGCTCAAATTACAATAATTACAAGTTTTGATTGAGAAAATCTTTGAAAAACAAAGAACATTGTTCTCAGATAATTGAAATCCGGGATTACGATAGGTTAGAGAGAAATTTGATAAGGAACGATGTCTGGAATGTTAATAGTGCTTACTGCCTCTTATGCCGGGTGGCATATAGGGCAGCAACAATGTCAGGATTAAATTTTATAGGCAACCTTCACACGCAATGTTTACGCTTTCTGTTAGACAAACCGGAAACGTTTAAGAAATCAGCTAACCAGAAATTGAGGACAAGCTTTTAATTCATAGTTTATTTTTCCTCTCATTTACGTCAAGTGGACGGCCATTTCTCACCGTGGACTGACTGGTCGGAGTGTTCCAAGACTTGTGGATCTGACTCATATCGGAAACGTGAAAGGACATGCACTGACCCCCCTCCCAGGCACGGCGGGGAGGATTGTGTGGGCAAGACTGTGGAAAGACGCCACTGCTTGAAGCCGCCTTGTTCGCTCAAACAGGAAGCTTATAACGCAAGCAAAGTGTTTGTACAAAGTGTTAAGTTTCAAAATGGTGAGATAATGTTCAGTTAGCGGAGTGGGCCAGTTTTTGTAATAGAGGTGCGGCAAACTAGTCTTTCTAACATTTTGGTTCATGAAAGTTTGTTTTATCATTAGTATTGAGTTTAATTTTCTACCTCCAAAAGGCCCAATGCCCCAAATAAAAATTCGACCTGAAAGGAGTGGACGAGAAAAGCAACTTTGCATATTTCCACAGCTAAATAAATTCATTACTTTATTGATATCAATTGATAGATCGATCAGTGAGGCTTGTCAATTTCGAAATACGGTTAGCTAGAGTTTGGAAGTCTGCTTCGGTCTGTGGCTCAACAAGGACAACTTAAAAGACATCGGAAAAAAACAAAGATAAAGAAAAAGGAAACGGAAAACTATTGAGTGAATATTTTCCAGTTTAAAAAAATATGCATAATATTACCATTTCTCATCTGGTTTTTTAGCTTCTTCAAATTCTACTGATGGTTTCACTGAGTGGGGCCCGTGGTCTCAATGTTCAAAGACCTGCGGTTCTAATTTATTGCGCGTGCGTAAGCGCTCGTGTTTCAAACAGAGTCATGAAAGCTGCACTGGTTCTACTTCGGAGGTGAAACCCTGTTTACTGCCGCCATGTCCAGGAGACACCATTCCTGGATTTAATAGAACTAAAGCTGGGCTCCCCGTGACTGTTTCACATAACAGTGAGTTTATTTCGTGTTCTTTGACTTGACCTAAAACTTGAGAACTAAAACTTTGATCACCTGAGAAAATCAATACTTCGACGGTTGCAACTTTGCTTTTGGGTCATTTCATCATTCCCAAACTTTAATGCAAGGTTTTCTAGGTTTTTTTAATCTTAGGACTTTGTAGCCAACATTTCACCGATTTATTTTGAAGCGCATCTTTTAAGATGTTCAAAAACGAAATATTTACAACGTTGTCTTTGTTATTCAAATTGTTCACAACTAAAACAAAAAATGTGTTAATTTTTTCAACCAGATCTGAATGGCAAATTTGCAACGCACCTTGTCTACGTTTTAATTGCGCCTGAATAGTGTTGCTTTTTTTTTTTACCTCATTCCATATAACTATTTCAAAGACGTTTTTTTTTTTTAAATGATGGCACTTTCCAGACATATTTACTATGCGTTTTTTTGGTGCTTGTATTCTGATGGGTATGGAACAGGCTTCCAATATGCTTATAATTGAAATATATCAACAAAGTTGAAATGGTAAATTGGCCACCGTTACGATTATAAAAGCTGACGTTTCGAGCTTTTATAATCGTAATACACACAACCCACAATTCCTCTATTCGCTCCGACGAAGGGCTAACGCTCGAAACGTCAACTTTTATAATCGTAACGGTGGCCAATTTACCATTTCAACTCTGTTGATATATTCAAATTATTCGTTACCACTACCGGCGCAGCCCCAAACAGTTTCTTTAGAAACTATCATCCTTTTTCGATTATGCTTAGGTTTCCATATCCCTGTCGACCACTCCCTCCTCCCCCCGAAAAAAGAAAAAGGAAAAGAAAAGAGGAAAAACTTTTAGGATGATTACAGCGATTTTTGCAGTACGGTTTGGGATATCCATTTGACAGCCGCAGTCACAATTGTCGTTGGATATATGGTTATGAATTGTATTAGTCATCCAGTTGAGAATATGATAAAAAGAAAATGATTCAAATACTGGAAAATTATAGACGAACGATCGACGTTTCGGCCATATCACACGACCTTCATCAGGAAACTGCCGAGTCAGCCTAGGTCACGCAAGTTTCACGTGATAGCTGACTCGACACGGTCCCACGTGTGCGATAGTACAAACCGCAACCCCCCTTTCTTATTAAGAGAAGGGTCCTCTACCCTCTCCCAAAAAGGCCCAGTACCATCGAGGCACAAAATTCGGCTGTCTATAATCATTTACGAAGCTCGGGACACTCCTTTGGACTAAGCGATGTTAAGATCTTGGACAAGGAAGAAGACTGGGTCAGATGTGGCATCAAAGAAGCTGTTTGGGAGAGGGTAGAGGACCCATCTCTTAATAAGAAAGGGGGGTTGCGGTTTGTACTATCGCACAAGTGGGACCGTGCGTTACGGGACGTGCCGAGTCATTTATCACGTGACACTTGCGTGACCTAGGCTAACTCAATAGTTTCCTGATGAAGGCCGTGTGATATGGCCGAAACGTCGATCGTTCGTCTATAATTTTCCAGTATTTGAATTATTTTCTTTTTGTCGTTGGATATCGTTTCTAAATGATCACTAGGATTACCGGTCTCCTTTTCCGGGGATCCCGGTGCACTATTTGCAAGCAAGCCTTGAAATTTGAAATACGAAGTAAGGAATACCGTAATTAAAGGATATCGTTTATTATTTTCGAGACAGTCTCTGTGAGAAATGAGTTTGATTGGAGTCCCTGGTCCGTCTGTACAAAAACCTGCGGTTTTGGCTCCTACCGCACGCGCGAGAGAACTTGTTCTTTTTCCATGCCAGAAGACGTCAAAAAGTCATGCATTGGGTCAGAGATTCAGAAGGTCCCTTGCAAGGTACCCGCGTGCCCGAAAATGAAAACAGCAATTCCCAATGCTATCCTTCGACAAAAAAGTTCTGTTAACAAAAGTAAGTAACAACTTAATGATTTTAGACCTTTTTTTTAGAAGGACAGGTGTCGGTCTAGTGGTGGCGCAGACGCTTATTTTTTGGCGTTCTGCTTTGCTAGTTTTTTCCTGTAAGAATTTAGGTATATCCGACGAATCCACGAAAATTTCGTGGATTTTAATGATATACGTAATGATATAAGAATGTAAAGGGCTGAAGAAATTCTTCCTTTTAAGCCCCTTTTCTACTCCTCCTCAACCCTGACACTGTATTTTGATTATCGCACAGCTCTTACTCCACTTCATAAAACTTCAAGTGCGCATGTCCCAGCAGTTCAACAATCCACTCCAACCCAGTCTCAAAACACTACCTCTAGGCCCCCGGTCATGTCACCTGATTTACAAGCGATGGCAGCTTTGGCAGCTGTGAACAAGCCATCCATTTTACCGGGAGTTAACCTTTCAGAATCAAATTACACAGAGTGGTCACCTTGGTCTAAATGCTCCCCCAGCTGTGGTCTAAGAGCCGTGATGGTTCGACGACGTACCTGCAAGCTGATTGGTGGAAAGAGCTGTCAAGGTCCTTTTACTCAGAGAAAGCCTTGTCAGTTTACGAAATGCACAGGTATACAATATACTATAACTTTCCAAATAAAATAAACCGAGATAGAATACAGGAAAGCCGTTGCCTAAGATAGTATTACTCCTTACCATCCCAGTAAATAATACGATTTTATTCCCTCCCTTTCAACTGAGCCTTCCCCTCCGTTAAGCTCCCTTCCCCACTCCCTCCGTCGAACTTTAGTTAAAGAGTTTTGAAGACGTTGTCATGATCGTAAGGGGTAGGAAAGTCAGCTGAAACCTATTTAAAATGAAGTCTGAAAGCGCGTAGTGAAAATTGTGTCGGCCCCTGTCAATTTCTGTGGCATAATATGACATTATCATGCAGCTCTCCTTCATGGTATACCGATGAGTTTATTAGTCTCGTGCCTCCACCTCCTCCCTAGCGCTTTATCGAATAATTGGGGACTCGACGCGTTTTGCAATCGAAGAAAGTTTCTGCTCATGTAAACTAACAATGGTGAATTGATTTTCAGTTGATGGTGGTTTTTCCCCTTGGTCTCGATGGTCGTACTGTACCGCGACCTGTGGTACCAGTGCAGTTAGCCGTCGGGAGCGCATATGCAACAATCCTAAACCAGGAGCAGGTGGACGGGACTGTTTGGGTGAATGGTCACAGGTTAAGAGCTGTGGAAGGAAACCATGTTCTGGTGAGAAAATCAATGTGAATTTTTAATCTGGAAAAAAGGACGTACACGTGACTTATTCCTTAAATATGCACTTAGTTCCTATCGATCTAGCTCTTTCTTCTGGTCATTTCTCTCTGTTACTTCCTATCGCTTCAGTGAATGGAGGTCTTACTGGTTGGACAGCATGGTCTGCTTGTACTAAGACTTGTGATACAAACACTGTTAGTGTCCGGGAGCGATACTGCACTAACCCTCCCCCACAGGGTAGAGGTAAAGACTGTGCTGGTCAGAGAATGCAAGCCAGAGCATGTGCCTCTTCAAAGTGTCCAGGTAAAAGCCTTACTGAAAATAGCAAAATCAAGAAGTAGTCGCTTGTCGTGACTGACGGTCCTAAATGGTACCTTTGTCTAACGGTCTTGAACGTACCTTGCCCTGAAGTAATTTTTGTCAGGGTAAACGAAAATCGATGATAAATGTTTTTGTGTTTAGTTTCTTGAGAGCATCTTATGCCGAGCGTTTTTAATTGCTTTTTATCTCCCGGCAGTTGATCGTTGCGCGCTTCTTGGAATGATCTGCAAGTTATCTGTATTGCATATAGACACGAGTACGCGAAAGAAACAGAAAACCAGTAACAAAAAGAAAATGTGTCGGGCACTGAAAAGAACGAGTAGACAAATAAACAAGCAAACAAAAAAAGAAGCAAGATTGATCGAAGACAAAACAAACGTAACAAGCATGCAAAAGAGCAAGTTTGGTCTAAGACCGTTTTATTTCTACAGTTGACGGAAATGTATCTGCATGGTCTGTATGGTCTCAGTGCCACGGCCGGCGCTGTGGAAGAGAATTAAGAAAGAGAACGCGCACGTGTTCAAACCCACCACCTGCTAATGGCGGGAAATTCTGCGTTAAGCCACTGGTACAAACTAGAAGATGTCAAACAAAGCACTGTAAATGTAAGTTGCTGCTCTAATAAAGAACTTTTTTAAAAATTCCTAGAAGTGAAACCGAGGTAATCACAACGTGATGTCACGGTTGTCACTGAGAGCCAACGGAACTTAAGTAAAATTAACACGTAGCTGACAGAAACGTGGCAAGAAAGGCGGCTGACCAAGTCGGGATTGATTTCAGCTGTACAATTAATTGGTTGAAAGGGTATCGCAACGTTTTTAGACCACTCATGATAGAGTGTAGTGAAGCAAACATGGAGTAGTTATGGAATACTTTAAGACTCAGTTGAAGTTTGCTATACCAAGGGCAACCCCTTATTATTTAATCGCCAACTGCTTCTCTCTGCGTTCTTCTCTTTTGTGTGTTAACTTAACGCGCTCACACGGAAGCCTGAGCGCAGTTTTACAAATCTTCAAATGCCTAGGATACAACCACAAAGAATATCACTTAAGATGCAAATAGCGAGCAAGAGCTTGTTTCTTTCTCTGCCAGCTACTCTTGGATTTAGTCAATGGTCTTCGTTCGGGAGATGCTCCCGTTCATGCGAAGGTGGGATAAAGAAGAGGAGAAGAAGGTGCAAAATACCTTCTAAAGGTTGCCATGGTCTCAGGATACAGAGAAAACACTGTAACATTCATAGATGTCCAAGTAAGTCAGTCATTCGGAGAGTCAGCTTCAACTTTAACTCGACTCATGTGGTGTTTTTGTTAATGATTTTTCTAATGACGGTTAGTTGGCCGAGACTAGATTTATTTACTTCAATCCCATCATGAAGCGAGGCTCCCAAATTCGAAGCGCATATGCTAATTGCTCTGGTATTGTTTTCAAGGAACGTTTTTGTTTCCTTTGGCGTCTGAATCATTACAGTAAAAAGTTTAAGAATTATCAACTTGGACATCAAATGTTTGAGTATAGTACAGTCTCTGAACAATAGAATTGTATGGTAGGCAGTATTAAGGAGAATAACTAATGAGCTCTTGGGATTAAAATGCTTTACTGCGTAATTTGAGCTCTCCAATGGGAAACATCTCGGATCGGCACAGGAAAAATCGAACGGGTGTTGCATCCGCCAAAGTTACGCGGTAGAAAAGGGGAGTTAAAAGCCAAACAGAATCGAAATTTGCAGATTTTTTATTTTGATTTCTAATTTAATTCTATAGATTCAAATTACCTGGTTCGAGCTGATCCTCTTGAGCTGTGCGGTTACCATCCGTGTAAGGTTTCCAAATGTGTAACAGAACCTACGGCAATGTGCGTCAGTAACTTCAATTGTAAACCGATCTTCTTCGATAGGGATGGTCAAATAATCAACTCTTGTAAAGGTAAAAGGCCTAAAAGGGAAAAAATGTACCCTTTTTTAAATTCATTAATCAATTAAGAGCCGTTTTAAAAGAGAGGTAAAGTTCATGCATAGCAAAACTTTATTTTGCCTTCACTGTTCAACCGGACACAAAGAGTTGATATCTGGGTGGGTTGGCCAGCCATGCCAACGTAGACGAACAGCTACGCCCGGTGAAGGCTGACCGTAGAATGCCTTGCTCTGCTAACGACCTCTGCTTACGAACCACGATGCCATAACTCTCTGTGTTCCTCGCAGCCACCCCCCAGTTCTCCGATACGTGCCGGCAAAATATCAATTTATGCTAATTAGGATTACCTCAAATTACATTTCTTCACGCGTTTCTTTTGAATATGGCTCTCTTCTTAATGACGGATTGATTTACAGCGCTGGTTTCTAGTCTATCTCACCCTTAAGTCACTTTTGCAAGTCTAATAACTCCGTACGCTTTTCTGCCATACAGGAGACGCTGTAGTCCTATCAGTTCCTCCAGAACGAGTTTGTCGATTTAATCCGTGTGAAAAGTCTGCTTGTTACACCACCCAAGCTGAGCGCTGTGCTGTGTCTTACGGATGCAAACCCATCTTTTTCGGAGTCAATGGCCAGCGACTTAACTGCAGAGGTAAGTTTGGATTATCTCTAGGTTAGTCCTAATTTTAATGGATTGTATCGGGCTGTTTCACTCGAAAGAGAAAAAAAAAATATGTATGATTATAACAAACTGGTTCAAGACTTCAGAGGTAGTTCATCGTTTTATTACGACAGCTCTGTTTCGTATGGTCGAAAATGACCACACTCATCAGGTAATTTCAACGATTGACCGTTAACTTACAATGACTGGCTATAAAAGCTGGAATACGGTTGCTAGGAGATATAAAAACGACGCTACTTTTCCATATAAGTCATGTGACTAGTATGTATAATTTCGGAGATTGTTACTATTCAGAGATTGAATAGGAATTTTTTTTATTTTTCAACACATTTTGAAGTGTGTCCATCTATACCAGTAGTAGTGGTAAAAACAGACTCCTTACTGAAGGAACTCATTCAGTCATTAAAACTGTCGTATCTAACCATAACAAATCTGAGATCCGGAAACTTGCACGCACTAATGATCGAGCTAGGAAAAGCTGCAACTGTGGGAAACCTGACATATGCCCCATGCATGGAAGCTGTAACATGGAAAGCATAATTTACCAGGCAGAGGTCACCACAGAAACCGAAAAGGAAACGTACATCGGTTTCTGTGATATTGCTTTTAAAATGCGTTACAGGAACCACTTATGTTCATTCCGAAACGAACGTTACAGGCATGCAACTGAACTTAGTAAATATATATGGAGTCTTAAAGATTAGGACACTAAGTTTGATATTAAATGGCGCAAGGTGAAACAGGCTAGTTCGTATTCCAATGTAGCTAAGAGATGCAGTTTGTGTTTGTGGGAAAAGTATTTTATCATTTGTAAACCGCAAATGGCAAGTTTAAACAAAAGAAATGAGCTGACATCATGTTGCAGACATGTCAGGAATTTCCTGTTAAAGAACGTAACGTTACGATAGCGCGTGCAGTATGTTGCGCGCGCATGTACACATTGTTCTGTCTTTTAAATTTCGGTGGATTGTAACCGTTATTTCTGGCAGTTGCCTGACGATTGCTTCGCAAGAGGCATGAAACTCAGAGTTGCAGTAAAAGTTCAAGTAACGTAAATCTTGAAGTATAATTATATACATACATATATCTCTTCAGCTTAAAGATTCTGCATACGAGAAAAGTGGTGGAAATAAATATTAGTCGTTAATTGGATCTCACGACTGATCAATATAGGTATTCTTAAAGATATTTAAGTCGCCGATTTATCGACAAAGACACATAAAGTATAGTTTTTATGTTTTTTTTTTCAAAACTTTTCAACTTGAATACCATGTATTTTATCGAGTATAAATAGCACATTTGTTGAAACTTGGTGTCAATGAGAATAGGAATATTTTTTTATTTTTCAACACATTTTGAAGTGTGTCCATCTATACCAGTAGTAGTGGTAAAAACAGACTCCTTACTAAAGGAACTCTTTTAGTCATTAATTCACTCGCCCATCCATCTCTTCATTCATACATCAGTTTTTTTTTTCACCCTTTCGCCATTCATTCATTCATCAGGCATACTGACGGTGTCAGCAATGGATGCATGCGGCTTTAATCCTTGCTTTGAAAAAGCATGCAAAGTTGATCTCACAGCTCGCTGTGTGACTGACGCACATTGTAAACCGACCTTCATTTCCAGGACTGAACGAATACTGGACGAATGCGTAGGTAAAAAGATAATTTAAATGATTCATCTCCCGTTGGATGGCTAACCCTAAAAGAAATGCCTTTTACACACAGTTGTAGCATTATCAGAGGAGATGATGGGGAAAGCCAACATAATAGAGACATTTTCAATAGAACGTCGAGAGAAGTTCAAGACTTTCCTGGTTCTGCCTCTCTACGCTTTGCAATCGGTGTAAAAAACTTACGTAATATCTGTTAAACAAATAACTACAAAAGCTAAAGCCACCGATCACGTCCGGGACACTTCTATTTTTTCACGTTTTCTCACCGGTTGCTTGTTATGTCCTCATTTCTGACCGGCCGTTACGTTCACTTCTTTCAATTTTTTTCTTTCCTCTCAAGAGGACCAAGACGAGAATGATGACGGAAGCGACGAGGAACGCGATGGGACAGATACTAACGAGGAAACTGGAGACAAAGATCCCGACGTTGTAGATGTCTCGAATACCGACGACGATAATGATGATGATAGCAATGAAAATAATGACGACGATGATTATGACGATGACGACAATAAGAGCTACAAACACGTGCACGAGAGACGTAAATCACACAAGAAAATTTATGTCGAGGATGACGACGAAGAAGACGATGCTGTCAAGAAGACAAAGACAGTTGATAATGATGACAATGAGGATGCTGCTAACTCTAGAAAAAAGACTGAAACTCCTGTGGTTCAATTAAATGACGAGTCGTTACATCATGGTTTGGTCAGCGGTATGGGTTCTGAAATATCCTTTGTCTCAAAGCATGGACCGGCTAAGTTCTTCTGGCTAAAGGGAGATGGCAAGGGTTCGAAAAATAATACTGAAATGTAAGAACAAGGAGTAATTGTGGTTTTACTCGCGTTATTCACGCAACCAGTCATATGCAAAACGAAAACCGAAGTCATTTATTCACTTGCGTTTTGTCCACTTCGGGCAGTTTGCCCGTTTATACTTTGAGTTCTTATTGGCTCCTTTGGAAATTTTCCTTGCTCCTGATTGGGCGTTGTGATTACGCTGGTTTGAGTACTACAGCACGCAATGATAATGCACTCTTTACTGATTAACTATTATCAAGAAGTGTTGAAAAGACTTTGATTACAAAAACTGCGCTGATGGTGTTCAAGAACTTGTAATAACGAAGACGATTACGTAATAACTTTTGTAGTTGTTGCAGGCGTATGTGACCTGGTGACACTCCTTGTCGAATAATCTCTCCCACAATTAGAGGTCATTTAGTTATATAGTTCACTGGTAGAGCGTTTTCGAAAAGCCGTTCCGAAGGATCTCGAGATTAGTTTATGCCGTCCCGAACGATCCCGATCTTAGTTAAGTTTATGTTTTTTAGTGTATCGTCCGACCAATTAGCATTGGCACACCGCAAAACTGCGAAATAACTTTGAATTTAGCTCGACCATTGGTCGTTATTTTTCAGGCTCGTCATAGAAGCAGCGGGTAGCAAGAAATCTTCAGTATCATTTCCTCAAAGGTCTCAAAGATTAAAATCAGAGAGCAAGTCTAGAAGGTAATTTCAATTAAAGGTTACATTCTTTAACGATACTAAAGACTGGTTATTCTGTTTCGACGTTCGAAATTTACCAAGTATCAATTCAAACTATATTTGTTTGTTGATTTTAAATTAATGTTAAAAGTTTGGTGATTTTATTTTAGTTTGGTTTATGGAAACTTGTTACTTAAAAGCCTTTTTTTTTGTGTAACAGGTACAACAGGAAAGAGTCACGCGAGCAAATCGCCTGAAGGAGAATACGTCCAAATTTGAATCTCAGACGCATTCCAATCTTAAACTATCATTTCACACAGAAATTCTCTCTTGACCGATGAAGTTATGACTTATTTTCTTTCTTGAACTATGAAATGTTTTAAAAGCCTTGTAGGCTGAACAACTTTTAGACAGCTGTACTGTCAACGTAACTTCTTTGCAACTTTTGAATAAAAGGTTAGTTTTTGTTTTGTTATGTATTTTTATTTTTAATTGAGGTTTGAAGGTAGATGCCTGGAACATAATCGTAAACAATCAGACAGTTCTTTTAGGGCTGATAAATTCTCCTGCATATATTGAAAGAATAAAATTCTGTCAATGAGCAAAATTGACCATTTTGAACAAAGCTTAGGCATTGCCTTATTTACGAATTCCTATTGTTCCAACATTCATATATATGCTTATATCTCGACAGAAATAGAGGATTTTTAGGACACTTAATAACTTGTTACAAAAAAGCGTGATTCACTGCCTATTGCATGTAATTTTGAGCAAATTGGACCACTTGACCCTGGATTAGATCGAGGTCTCCAAAAGCTAATTTCTATCGCTTCAGTATTCATAAGCTTATATCTCGGTCAGAGAGAGAATTTTCGGCACAATATATGGTGCGTTAGAAAGAGCGCGATTAGCTAGGTATTGTGTGTAAGTGTCAAAGTTACAGCTTGTTCGTGGGCCGAGAAAATCTCATCTGAAAATTTAGACAAAAGAAATTTGTTAATGAGCAAATTGAACCTCTAGGACTGGGGTTTGCTCGACGTCTCCAAAAGCTCATAAACAAATTTCCATTGTTTTAATATTCATGGGCTTATATCTCAGTCATAGAGAGGATTTTCGGCACAAAGTATAATGCGTTAGAAAGAGCGTGATTAGCTGTGTATCGTGTCTAAGTGTCAAAGTTATAACATGTTCGTGGGCCGAGAAAATCTCCTCTGAATACTCAAACAAAAGAAGTTTGTTAATGAGAGAGATTGAACCTCTAGGACTAAGATTTGCTCGAGGTTCCCAAAAGCTCATTAACAAATTTCAATTGTCTCAATATTCATGGCTTATATCTCAGTCATAGAGAGGACTTTCGGCACCCTGACAAGGTGCTTTGGAAAGAGCGTGATTAGCTGTGTATTGTGTGTGAGTGTCAAAGTTACAGCTTGTTCGTGGACCGAGAAAATCTCATCTGAATATTCAAACAAAAGAAGTTTGTTAATGAGCAAATTGAACCTCAAGGACTAGGGTTTGCTCGACGTCCCCAATAGCTCATTGAAAAATTTCTGTTGTTTCAATATTCATGGGCTTATATCTCAGTCATAGTGAGGATTTTCGGCACAAAACAAGGCGCGTTGAAAGAGCGTGATTAGCTGTGTATAATGTGTGAGTGTCAAAGTTTCAGCTTGTTCGTGGGCAGAGAAAATCTCCTCTGAATATTCAAACAAAGGAATTTTATTAATGAGCAAAGTGAACCTCTAAAACCGTAGGTTTAGCTCGAGCTCTCAGAAAGCTCATTAACGAATTTCTTTTGTTTTAATATTCATCGGCTTTTGTTTTGGTCAGAGAAGATTTGTAAGAGACTTCTAGCCCGTTAAATATAACGTGACCAGTTCTTTTTTGATTTTGTTAATGGACAAAATTGACCACTTTTCGCATGGAAAAAGGCTCCAAAATCATTTATGAATTTCTACTGTTTCAAAATCCATGCGCTGAACTCTGAAGAAAAGATGATTTCCAGTAAATTTCATAACTCGTTAGAAAGACCTAGATAAGCTGTCTATTTTAGGTCAAACTCAGAGCTCCTTTGTGGGAAGAGAAAGACGAGAATCGATATAATGATTGTTATCATATTTATTAGCTCAATAAGCACAATAACAAATGCAGAAAGTATATACCAGACGAGATACATCAAATAAAAACATGGAATATTCAACAAATATTAGTTAATTTAGGAAGTAGGCTTCCGCTACGGAGCAGTTTGTGATCCTTCTAAAATAAATGCTGCGATGAATTGTTATCTGAAAATAATGCAGAGAAACAGTGTGAGTATTTTGCAAGTTTCACTTATTTCATGAGAAGTGAAAAAAGCGCTTTTCGAGTACCGAAGTGCCGTAAAAGGAATACCGATGTTATTAAAACAGTCAATCAGAGGAAAGGACAACGAGCCATTGAGGACTCAGAGTTTGAGCAGGCGTACTGCCTGAAGTGCGGGAAAATGTTAGAGATGAACCCACAAGCAATAATAATGGAATCTTGGTTTACTTTCGAGACTAAAAATAAGATTCATGGTCGTTGTAGGTTTCAGATTGAGCTTCAAGTTGTTCACTCTGGTTTGGCTTCACCTTGCAGATTACCTGAATTTTTCGCTCATACTACATCAACTGCGTACATCAATTACTTGAGTAAACTTACTTGTCATGACCCTCAACTGCGTACGTCAAGTACCCTTATTTGTCTTAATCCTCAAGAGTAATAGAAAACCTCTTTTAGGGTTTTCAGAGAACCAAGTAACAGTAGTTAACCTATCAAATCTCAAAGACAATTGTATGGAATAGTTTTTACCTAAGTCTTCTTATGTTTTTGGTCGACTGTTTTGACTTGTTGGCACACCCATTGCTGAAAATAGAAGAGAAAAAATACTTTCCAGTCAACCCTATAATCCTTATGAATAACTAACATCTAATGTTTTCCTAAAGTATAGCCCCTGAACAAAACATTACGGTAAAGAGAATAAAGGACATCCTGGCAAATTCAAGAAACTCTTGAGTTTGACACAAATTCTCCTCATCAGAATCATATTAAAAATGTGCAGGGAAAAGTATGGAGGGTATGCATTCTAATACTAGGGCGTAGAGGATTAAACAACACTAAAGCTGCTTTAGCACCAAATCAATTATAAATGTGACCTTTGAACGATCCAGATATTTGTCCATTTTTATTTATTAAGATATAGATTCGCAACACAACGACGTTCCTCGTTAAAACTGTCATAGTCATAAGTAGGAAAGGTGACATTTCAGAACAAATAAGATTCAAGAGATTACCATGACAAAACTTTGAATCATATTCTCTTGTACATAATTTTAAAAAGTTAGCAATCTACCAATCATACAAAAGATAATTTGGCCAGTCACATTTTGAAATATTTTTCAAATGAATCGTCAACAAAATAAAAGATTTAAAGATTTAAAGGGGAGGATGGAAAAGGAGTAACTAACCTATTTTCAAATCTTCTAGTGAGAGTTCTCTCTCCCAAAGTGCCAAGTTGCTGATTCTTAAAGGAAATCTGTATACTGGTTTCTCTGAGTTGTTTGGTCGACCAATATCAAAGGTTGTAAACGAGTCTAGAGGTCTGGAAACTAAAGCAGGGTTTCCGCTGGTCACATGGGTTCCATTGACATACAGCTTGAGTTGACTCGCCTCCCGCCAAGTGAAAGCGAGGTTGAACCATCCGCTCGGTAGAACAGGCGTGTCAAGTTTCCATTGCTTGTTTTTTGTGCTGAGAATAACGATATATTTGTTGGAAAGATGAACCACAGCAAAACCGCGCGACTTGGTGGACTGGCCACCACTAGACATGATGTAGGAACCAGTCGTGTTACTCAGCGAGGTCTTGTTGAGTTTAATCCAGGCCATCACGGTCATTCCTTTATCAGAGCAATGTCCAGGATCACTGAAGCAGGTAGCTAAGGAAAAATAATATACTTGTTATAAACGCGTCATTTATTGAAACAACACTTGGTTGAAATCTATCAGTTGCAAAATAAATTCAACTTTCGGTTGATCACCGTCAAGATGAGTCAATAAAGGAAAAGCCTTCACACTTTGACTGCTAAGAGTGACTAACATCTAATTTCTCCTTACAATATCACCCCTGAATCACACATTAAGGCCAGGAGAATAAAGGAAATGATCACCAACTTAAGAAGCTCTTAAATAAAAAAAATTATTCTTGGGAAATGCATAACATAAACTTTGCTTGAATCATTTGATTTCCAGAACAAACATGTCTCGCAAATCTTCTCTTACGGAAGTAACATCTTCTGTATGGAGCTTCTCGATAAATTTTACAGGCTTTGGGAAGAGATAGACTTAAAAAGCTGGGAGTTGATATCTTTATAAAACACCAAATTTTTTAATCAAGTCTAGGAAAATTCCACCACAATTGAAGGGAGAGTTGCAATTCAGATATTTGCAGTCGAACGGATAAGGGAAGTGTATCTTGTGAGAGCGAATTTTTTTGTTTCACGCGAAGTCGATTTATACTTGTGTCATAAAAGAAGAATGAAAGGCTAAGGGGCTCCATGAAAACTAAAACTTTAACGACAAAAGTATTAAATGTTTTAAATCGCCTCACCATTGGTTTCTTTGAGAGACAACCATCCACCATTAGTATCAGCGACCAGGCCCGCGTCAGTTGTGTTTTTCATATGGGCTCCGCCCTCTAGGTGAATAACGCGATTGCGGATTTTATCCAATGCTTCTGAGGTGTTTAAGGGTGATACAAAGTGCCACAAGCAGCTGGGGGTCAGATCTGTTTGTTTATCTGTAGAGAGAGAGTATTCATAGATAAACTGCGCTACTGACTGGTGCGTGAAGTTAAAAAAGAAGTAAGGCATTTAAGGCGCAATTTTACCCTGAATACCTCCACTCAGTAGCCAATTTGGTTGCAAGAATCCAATCGGCTTGTGATTCTGTTTAGAATGATGATTCCAACTTATTCGAGAATTCGACGTCGTTGTAAGAGCTTTTAGGTCTTGTAAACTTCGCAAAATGATATCATTGTTCCAATTTCTTTAACTGCTTTCTTTCAAAACTTACCATGATTCTCGACTCCAACAATTTCACTTCGTTTTGTACCTCGCACTTGTTCTGGTCCCCTTAATGGTTCGCTTTTTCTCTCGTCTTTATCAGGCCTGGCAATTAGTACGTTTCTTTTCTTCTTTCCACTCCTTCCTGCGCGTAAAAGAATACGAAACGTTCAAATACATATAGTCAACTGATAGTGAGAAACATCAAAATGTTGAATGTTGCCTAAGGGGGAAAGGTTTGTCGGCCTCACATGGAATGAATGATGTATTTTTTACCACATGAACTGGCTTGGAGATAGAGTCACTTTTTCTTGACTTTTGTCTGACCTGTAGCAGCCATGTTGAAAACGGTAGCTGATTTATCTAGAACTCTTTCATAAATGACGGGCGATTCTTTAATTCGTGCAAATTATCTTTTCTAATCTCGACAACAAATTGGAAAACAAACTAATTGCATTAAGTTAAAACGAGGCCAAGAGGGCTAATTTGCATACACATAAAAGAAAAACATGATCATGCTCACCATTACGAACTGAATGAGGTCTATTAGATTCTATATTTATATGTTTTTCAACGTCAACCATCTCCTGTACCTTTCGACAATTACTTTCATTTGTTTATTGATTTTGAGTTATTCTTCAACTCAAAGTCTAATTACCTCCACAAGCAGCTTTTTTAATGGATCTCACCACACCACTGAGGCTTCTAAATCCGGCTTTAAACACGTTTCGTGAGTTCCCTGCCATTTGGTAAAGTTGAGATTTCCTGAACTTTCGACCAATGCCAAGCGCCAGAATATGCACGCCGGCCTTTCGAAGGTCACGTGACGGTCTCACCACCGAGTCATGTGAGATACCATCGGTCATACAAATGAGGACCTAAAGAACGTTAAAAAAGGGATTAATACGGAAGTTGTTCATCTCTCTAATCAAAATCCTTTTTATAATAGTTTCTGTAGACAAAGTTTACTCGGTTGCGTATTCAAAATACATCTTATTAAACTCTAAAGTGCCAATTGGGTTGAAATGGAGGGATTTGGTAAATTGGATGAATTTGTTTACTTAAAGGAGAGAAATCTGGTTAAGCGACAGAAAGATTAATTTCCCCAATCCTTTGGATACCAAAGAGTCATAATCCTTAAAAGACTACGAAAAAATCTGAAAATATGTATGTCTTGAGTTGGAAGAAAAAATTCGAAATTGCGGGGCTACAACAGGGTATTGTAAGAAAGAGGTTATAAAGCCATTAAAAAAAAACAAAACAAAAAAAACAAAACAAAACAAAACAAAACAAAATAAACAACACTCACCTTGCGCCGACTTGTCCTCTTTCTAAACAATTGATGTTTGGCAAATCTCAGCGCTCGTCCAATTCTCGTGCCACCTCTCGGGTATCTTATACGTCCAATGGCGTGTAACACGCTCTGTTTGTTTCTGTAGCTCCTAAAGTTTGCGATCAGCCATGCACGGCTAGAGAACAGTACGATACCAACACGAGTTTGTGACGGAGAGACGCCGAACGAGGCAACGACTCGTTTGACGAAGTTGAGACATCGCTTGAAGTTGCCTCGACCGTAAGCCTCGATACTCCCCGAGCCGTCAATCAGGAAGGCAAGATCAAGACGTCTGCGACAAACTGTGGAAGAAAAAAAATCGTTGTGTCAAATGGTCGCAATGGTAGTTGGTTAATAAGTGATTTAAAGGCCACACGGAACGAGGGATACCAATGAATTTGGTCTATAGAACCCAACTAAAAACAGGCAAACTGCCTGAAGTGCGGGGAAATGTAAGAGATTATGTTAGGGTTTCTTTAATTTTGCATCCGATTGACTGAAAGGGTGGCGTCAACTTTGTGGACCCATCACAAAGCGTATGGAAGCAAAATCAATGTAATAAGGCATAACTTTCGATACCCGATTAAATGCAACAGTCAGCCGATAAATTTTGAAATGACAATTTCGAAGTGTACTTGACAACAAAGAAACAGGAATTGAAATTTGACAAAAAAATATTGTAAGAAAATTTCAAGAAGGAAAAAGACATTAATAACCTAATAGAAACATGAATTCGCGAATTTGGATCTCAATTAACAGTTTTGGTTCCAGTCTCACCTTGACCACTTGGACGAAAAGGTGGTTTTGGCCGCACAGGTCTGGGTCGTATTGGGCGACCTATAAAAAGCGACCTCAAGTTAGCAAGTCAGAGTCTGGTATAGCTTGAACAGCTGTAATATGCTAGTATTCATTTTCTTTAAACATGATTATAGCATTCCTTCATTGGCTAAAAGAGCCTAAATGAAGACGAGAGTGATCAATGCAGTTATTCTCACTACTTAAGAAGTGAGGAGAAAGCCTGAAGAGACTAAGTTAAGAAGCTCTGCGAAATCATTTCTATTTTCGTGAGCCTTGAAACCTGAATCTAAAATCGCCACACTTTCATTAATCTTTCATTTACGAAAGCACGGCCACTGCAAGAGGGACATTTCTCATTAAGTGAAACGAATTATCGATGCTTTTTCTACCTTCCCCAATGCGACCCTCTCAAAATTTTTCCATATTCCTTTGGAAATTTAATAAATACTTATTATTTCCTAAAATTGACCCAACAAATGGAGAAACGTCGGTCTGGTGATTCAGGATATGTAGAGGACTACTTTTTCCCTTTCAAAAACCACTTACCTCCACAAGCAGCTTTCTTTATGGATCTAACTATACCGCTGAGGCTTCTAAATCCGGCTTTGAACACGTTTCGTGAGTTCCCTGCCATTTGGTAAAGTTGTGATTTCCTGAACTTCCGACCAATACCAAGCGCCAAAATACGCACGCCGGCATTTCGAAGATCACGTGACGGTCTAACCACCGAGTCTTGTGAAATGCCATCTGTCATACAAATAAGAACCTAAAAGCCAGACATATTTTTTCAATTTTTTTTTATTTCGTAAGGGAAGAAATTAGTCTCTTTTAGAGTAGCTCGAACTATTTACTATTGATTACACGAGTACCAGAGAACAAGAACACAGGATAAAGGAAGTCGGTAATCCAGTAA